CAAGACTCGCTCTGGTGAAACCTGCGAACTATTGTTCATCTGGAGCATGCTTGTCTAATCACCAATGTAGAACCTGTCCAGCTCGTGTAGGCTCCGAAATATCTCTCTAGATGGGTCGACACGTCGATTTGAAGTAGCAAAAGTGCAAAATGCCCCCCCCCCCTCCCTGTCGCCAAGGCTGCCTCTGGTGTTATCTCCTTATTTTGAAAAGGAAATATAGCTCTACTAGGATGGGCACGACTCAAGAAATGAATAAGCACAGTTTCCATCTTCTAGCAATTTCACTACAGCATTCACAGGCCCTGTTTGGCTCAGTGAGGCCACTAAATGGTACTTAGCCAAGCGTGTACAGGCTACCTTATGAAGACTTGTAGTTTCCAGTACCATAGTGGCTCATTTGTTCATTCATTTCACAGCCTTACGTGTTTACAGGTCTCATCGAAATGGAACTCGCTAGATAACATGAAGTAAGCAGCAAAGCGAACGAGTGAAAGTGCAAGTGACCCTCCCAAACGAACAGCGCCTACTTACGAGTTATTAATAACAGAAAATAAGAAAAATAGCATCGAAATGAAACCTTGAAGTACAAACAGGAACAGGACTCACGTTCTCGGTGTAACATCCAGCGAACACGTTCACTCCCATTTTCAGCAATTTCAACGCCAGTAATCGACCAAAACCGCTATCACAACCAGTGATGAACACATATTTTCCACGATAATCAACATAGATATGCTCGAGAATCAGCCGTTTCAGAAGGAAATACCCAATTAGGGCGTAGACCATCCATAAGGCTATGGATATCATCGAATCAGTGAGCCAGTAGAGGAATATTGGCGTTTTGGTGAATTGTGCAAGAACTGCGACTTGTCGACAGGCAGCGGAAATCTATCAGTTATCGTCTCAGTATTGCACTTTTTACCTATAATTGAGAACTACTGCAAAAGGAAAAGTTCAATAGGCAAAGTAATCAGTCTAATTGCGCAACATGTCTCTGTGGTAGGTGTAACCGCAGAATTTCGTGGAATAGAGCTAGAAGAAATGGAGAAGAGCGACTGAATATTTTGATTTGTCACGAGACATTCGATGATTGGTGTGGCCTACCAGACAAAGCACATGTGGCAACCAGGAAGTGGTTCATACGTAGAAAACAGGAGAATAACGGCGGGATTCTCCCACGCCGATCAGACACAGTTTGAGGTTCAACGAGAGGGCTCTTGATCGCTACATACGGAAAATAAACTATCTTCCCGTAAGGTTGAAAGTTCTATTTACCCATTTTAGGCATTTTCTACTAGGTAAGAAAGAAAGTCCTGCAATACTCCAGTCTCCGAAATTAACGCCCTATGAGCAGCGCCTTAGGCAACTACCTCAGCTGACCCCAAGTTCAGGCTGCATTCATCACAGAATAAACACGATCTCGGTTATCAGGGAAGATTTTTGTTATGGATAACCCGATATGTGTCGCCAGTCTCCGAGTGATGTTTGATCAGATTTTCTTCATCCTGCGCGAGAGAAGAACTTCGTGGCAGGCACGGTGGATGGTAAGGAACTCGGCAGCCTAGCGTGGATCATGCACACGGGCTCGATTGGACCCTCGGGTAGAAAAGCCATTGCAGAGGCAAGGGAAGATAGAATAGAAGTCTCAATGTGTTGATGACAGGGCTGGGAGGGGCGGCGTAATATGTGAACTTCGCCCAAAAAGGTCTAATATCTTCCACCTCAACGGAAGCTAGCGCCCGCGTGTGACAGCGGTGTTTCTTGGGAGACTCCACATTTGCCACGCCTCAGATGTCACCAACCACGAACTCCCTTTCCCCTCCCCCCTCCACCTCACACGCGTCGTGGAGCAATAAATCCTACCTCACCTGTTCAGGGGTAAGAGAGTTTAAGGGGCGATCAAAGATAGGGGAGGAATCGATCTGAAGTGGTGAGAATTGCTAGGTAGTGGGGAAAATAACCACAAAGCGAAGTGTAACGGTCGGAACTCGGTGACAAAGCCTTGTTCTGCACGACAGTTCTGTTCTGGTCATCTGAATGAGTGACACAGAGCAATTTTGGACGAGTTTTCCGTTGTGATCGTGTGAAAAACCACTCCGATAGATGTGTCAACACTGCACGTAGCATCTCAACGGCTTCATGTCAATTGTACTTCGTAAGTGAAGCGTAGCGTAGGAGTGTAACCATCGGTGTGGCTATGCGACCATGTGTGGGTGGGCGGTTGCGGTAGGCGACTGGAATAGCATGTTGCACCTTGGTGGGCGTTATAACGGCACCCTTGTTTGGAAAAGGCGCCAAGTAACGCTTGCTTAGGAGCACAATATTCTTCCGTGCTATTCACCCCATACATCTTCCGCTGTCTTAACACGTTGACGACATTCTGAGCCACCGGTGGCTCATAAGTGAGTGGCCACGTGGGACAATTTGAGCCACCGGTGGCTCATAACTTTCTCCATCACTTTTCGGGTTATTGCCGGCAGTCTCAATCGATCTTTTTCTTGCTTTCGAATAACCTGTGAAAGGTGAATGTCCAACAGGGATGAGCAAGAAAAATGTTGCTGCCTCCATGGGATATTTTGAATTAAAAATTGAAATTTTTCAACTAGCTACTGCTGCGGCAGAAACCTCCAAAATAGTTCTTTTTGGACGAACCTTGGCTGCAGGGACTGCGCGGGGCTTTGATCATGAACGTGAGATCTATTTGTCGTTGGCGCCATATGGCGCCAGTAGGCGCCATTTCGGCGCTAGCAGTCTTTTTACACCGAATGCGATAGAAACCTCCATAGCTAGGTTATTTGACATCCTTGTCACGAATATCGTTGCCTTCCAGTGTTGGCGCCACCTGGCGCCAGCGGGCGCCACTTTGGCGCCTGCGATTTTTTTGACACCGACTATGGCGTGGCCGGCTATGTGTCGGTGTGGCGCGTCTAAGAAGCAGTATAAGCAATGAAAGGCAAGAAATTCCAAGAAACTCTTTAGAAATAGAGTAACGCACACAGACATTTCTGAAACCACATTGCGCGCTAAAAAATGGAATGATTCGGCAGAGAGCGGGGCATGAGATGGGCATACCGAATAGGTCATGTGCGTCGCAGAATTTGGCAATGACGCGCAAAAACGTGGTCCAGCGAGGGAACATATAGAGCGCACCGGTGGTCAAAGCCAGACGATGCGAAAACACGTCAATTGTCCCGCGCGCTTTCCGCAAAACGGCGATTCGTACAACAGTGTTACATCATGCCCCGCTTGCATTAATCAGGCATACCTGACAGCTTAGAATTTCTCGTATCTGCTCGTACCCTATCGCTGCTAGGCTAGGATGAGGCCTAGCTAATTTGTAAAATTCAGTTTCGGCTCCGTCCAGAAATGTGCGTGTGGAAAGAAAAGTAAGCAACAACCTTGCTCGTAGAGGGATGCAAATCTACATTGCCTAACAGTGTATCCATCGCTGATGAAGCAATAATATAGCACCACATTCTCTGAAGCAGAACAGGCGGTGGTTCAAATTGATCAATGCGACTTATTGTAGGGTCTCTTTATTTTTCTCAGTAGATGTGGAGTGCAGCGTGACGTAGATCGTAACGGATGTCCTATTTTCGTTTTTAGGGCTCACTGTCTAATCGCCGAATGTCAAACAACCCAAAAAAATCTAACAAAATTAAAAACGAAACAAAGCAAGAGAGTCAGTACAACGACCCGAACGAGCGACGTGAATACTTTCTGAAGTTCACGAATTCCATTTGATAAGGTGATGGGCTTTGAAGTATTCAAATTTCTGTTCTAATTGTCAGGGAGGTTAGTCATAATGGTTCCGAAGGGCGGTGAAACTTCACTCAGCCTTCCAATGCTCCAGAAGTTGTGTCTATCGCTAACGTGAATGGGTAAGCTCCTACTTCATGGAAATGCTTCCAGCGAGGGGCATTCTATCATATCCTACCAATGCTCTGTAAACTCCTACAAGCTCCTGCAAAGCTACGTATGAAATAAGAACGGTTTTACAACGGTTCAACTGTACGCTATTTTGAAGGCACTTAATGTTGTTCAGGAGATGAGAAGATTATTATGGGAGGGCTGTACGTCTTTGTTAAAGTCAAGACAAGGAGGAACTGTGAGATGAGTGAAGCTAACCGCTTGTGAAAGATAGTTTCCTTCCCTTCTGAGAAGTGGCTTACCTACTCGAGAGTCGCCAAAGATTTCTGCGCAACCTTTTCTCACCGACTCTAGCATATTTGCTTATTTACAGGAAACCAAAGATAAGAAATCCATACAATTTCGTAGCTTTTCAATAGTTCAGCGATACAAAGTTATGTCGACGGGGGTCTGCAAAATGCTCTCACCTTCTCTCCGAACTAGCGCCCACGATTCTCTATGATTGATGGATGGCCAACAACATAAGAAAGGGAACGTACACAGTGATGACTTTCAGGGTTTGTTTAGGAATTCCTGGGAAAATGTGACCATGTAGGAAAACACAAGATAATTGATAGGCTCTCAGCCACGAAAAAAAGCGTGTGCAATGGTACACTGCCATTTGATCGCTCTTCAGGGGCAGGGAAGGAGGCATTGAAAGCATTCTTCGGGCAAAACTAGGGTTACATCAAACATCATCATCATCATGGTTTACAAACTACCGTTTGTTAACCCTCTTCTCAAAGAACCTGATTCCCCAAGCCTGGTGCTCCTTTCCCCATAGGTTCAGGT